TTTCAATTATATAAAAAGTTTTCATTAAGTTTAATAAAGATAAGAGCAAGGTCTCACCTTAAATATTAAAAAAAAAATAAAAATAAAAAATAAAGAAAAAAGTTCAAATTAATATAAAGAGATAAATAATAAAACTATGCTTAAAAGCTTATTCTATTTAGAGCTTAATTATTATCCAAGTATATATAAATTGAGTATTTAAAAAAAACAAGCAATTAGGCTATATCTAAAAGTTTATTTTATTCAATAAACCTTAATCAATATAATAAATTGAGTTGTTTAAATAAATATAAAGAGATAGTTATGTTTAAAAACTTATATTATTTAGAGCTTAATTATTATAATAAACTTATTAAATTTTTTTTATTATAGATTATTACAAGAAATAATTTATTAACTTTAAATAAACCAGGAGACAAAGCATTGTTGTAACTCTTACAAAACCAATATTTTATGAATTTTTTATAACAAACTTGTAACAAAAATAACTTTATAATTTGAGTATCTTTACTTTCATATGAATATTTTAAAATAAATAACTTACATATAAGCAAATTCTAAGTTTGGTATTTCAAGCCAGGTACCCAACTCTTAAAAGTCGTCATGAGTTTGAGTATTTGGTTTGAAATACCAAACTTAGTCACAAATAAAGCTATAATAACTCAACTTATATGCGCGCAAACAATTTTTACCTCAATTAAACCATTTAAATTCAAAAATTTTAAATACCCATGGATTTGAATTATTCTAGATTAATTTGGAATTATATCGCTCTTTTCTTAGACAACTGAGTCTGTGGATTTTACATTTTATATGTACTAGTAATGTTCGGAATTCATAGAATTCACAAAATTCAATTGTCTAATTTGAAAAGAGCAATAGGTTCAGAAGTTTGAGAATAGATAGGCATTTTTTAATATTTTAGTTTCTCTTTATTTTGAGATTATAAGTTTTGAAACAGCACCAATAAGCATTATTTATGTAAATAACCTCATATTTTATAAATAAAGTAATCTTCGAGCTTAAAAGCTCTAAATTTAACAAATAAAACTTTTCTAATAAATTTACTAAGCATAGCCATTTTGTAATTTATTAAAAAAAGAAAAAGTATATTAATATAAAGTAACTCTTAACACAACCAGCAAACTTTTAGCATAGAAAAACTTTTACACTTTATTTTTTTTAGTGATAACATATCAAAATACAAAGTTACACTTATATTACAGGCAAAATTGTACAAAACTTACATTTTGGACCGTACGCTAAAGAGTGGTGGATTTCCTGTCTAACAAGTAATAACTTAATACATATACTTCTTTATCCAGTTCGTCTCGGTATGAAAACCATTACTATAGCAAATCAGTATGACTTTATAATTACAGTAGTTTAAAATGGGTTTGAACCTGGATATATATGTCAATCCGAAGCCTTGCAAAATAATACGTGTAAAAGTTAATCAGAAGCAATTACTTTGATATATCAACAAGCTTTTTTAACAAAAACTAGATTAGATGATCTTTTAGTTATGGGTTATGATAATTCAGAAATATGTAAAATGCTATTTTCCGATATTTATTTTCAACTTTATACATTCAGAATTGAAAATTTAAACTTGACTGTTTTTGAATTAGTAAATCGAACAATCTTGATTGGAATTATGCTGGGAAAGGATACCAAAGCTCTTTTGTGCATAACTTTCGCAAAACTCGTGCATTATTTTTTCAAGAGTTTAATAATAAAGAAGCAATCGTTAGAATCTATCAAAATTTTCAAGAAATTCATGTTTTTCATGATACTAACTCTACCACCGTTTGGAATAAGATAGGTATATTAACACAATTCGCAGAAAGCATGCTGTTTGAACTTCAATATAAGCAAACGAGATTGGAAATTAGCAAAGAATATACCCTTTCATGTACTGTAGAAGATTGGCAAAACGAGCAAATAATGAATAAGCTTTTTAATTATCATCTAAGAAAATTTATTAATATTTTTATCAAATAGAAAAACTTTTTTATTAGCTGGCAGAATCAAGAAAGTAATCTTATCGAATTAATAACAAAATTTAAAAAAAATATACCCACCAGACTATACTGTTCAAGATTATGAATTGCATGCATAGAAAGCCTTATTACAACATACAGGCTGCACTAACATAACACCTTTTGAAAAAGATTCTATGGTAATCTTTTAAAATAAATAATAATATATTGTGCCCAGATTGAAATTTTCCTGATTCAGAATCAGGACAGTCCCGGATGAGAATTTTATAATTTTTATTCAAATTATATCACCAAAAGTAAAATTTTAATATTCTAAACCTAAACCTAGCCCTAATACCAACCCTAACTCTAAAATCCTAATTCTACAAAAATAATTTTAAAATTCTCATCTGGGTGGCCCAATTCTGAATCGGGACAATTCCAATCTGGAGTATGAAATATATATTGTACACAAGATCAAGATTTGCATTAGGTCAAATTTAAGTACAGATTTTTATTAGAATAAGGGGGATGCTTAAGTTAATTTTTTTTTTAAACTGATACAGATATTAATCAAATGCACAGAATATATTACTCTAACTTCATAATTATTTGTAGTTTGAATTTTAGACTCGATCAAAAGATCCAGTAAAAGACAAAGCTATGTTAAAGCAGTTATATGAAAGTGGGTATCTTTGTACTACTCCAGAAAATCATAAAATTATCGCAGATCAATTTTGTAATGTATTTCAAGATGCCTTAGATATTAATATTCGTGGAATTGATGAAAAGAGGAGAATATTGTCAATTATTGCTGATAAACTTCTCTATCCTATGATAAAAAAAAATTTGCTAGTTAGTATCTAGCAATAGTATAATGTACTGTATACTACTGCTTACAGTACCCGGGGTCTTATTCAAAAATTCCATTTGTAAAATTGAATAGTACTCATGGGTACTGTGTAAAGAACCAGGTACTATATCTGGGATATATCATATTAATAGTAAATCATTATAGTTATACCCCGGGTCTTATTCAAGAAACAGGTTGGTAGTGATGATGAATAATACTTGGGTCTTAATCACAGGAGTATTATTTTTGGGGGATACTATAAGCAGTGGCATATGGTAGTTATTGTATGGATATGTGAATAACCTGTGATCTTTGGCCACGGTTATTCATCACATATTCATAAATAACTATAATATCCCACGTGGGAATACCCTGGAGCACTTTAATGTTAGTATTTTAAAAACAATTAGACAAAATTTAAATAACAGAATATTTATATTAGGTCTCAAATTATTTAATTACTAAAGCACATCAATATGCTCGTGTTAATAGTCCGGGAGGTATCCAATTAGAAAGACCTAAAGTTACTTTAGAAAAGTTAACCCCAGAAAAAAAAGAACAACTTGAGTATTTTTTCAAAATAAAACAAACATAGTCATAAGTTCTTATAAAACAGATAGTGCTACTAGATTATCTGTACATTATCTAAAAAATAATAAGAATGCATTATGGAAACAATTTCAAGAAGAGTATCCTAACAGCACTAAAAGAACAATGTTTTATAAATATTTATGAGGAGGCCAATATATATATAAGGAAAACTTAGGTGGTCTTTGCTCAATCTGTAATATGTATGGATATAAAACCTTTGATGAGCTTAGAACACTAATACAATACTATGCGAACTTGGATCATCAGGTAAATTCAACATGTTAATTGGCACTCTTTAAATATTATTTAACATATCATTTAATACATTTACGTATATAATTTTGCAGACATAAATGTCTGTGAAATCACTGCAAGTTGAATAGTATTCAAAAAAATATCAATTTTAGAATTCTGATATATAATTACCTTTAACATTGTAATTAAATAACAATAAGGAACAGTTATTATCTGAATGCAATAGTCTACAAAGATATTTAAAAAAAGATTATGAGAATAAATTAAAAGTAGATTCTTTCAGTTATACAGTCAACTCTGGATATAATGAACCTTTTTATAACGAACTCTGGATATAATCAACCCAAATTTTCTAAATTTTAATATTAGTTCGGTATAACAAGAGCTACGGCTATTAAGAAAACATAGTAATTCTATATAATGAACTTTTTTTTTGGCCAGAACTAAGGGTTCGTTATAGAAAGAGTAGACTGTATAAAACATGATATCTGTATTAATCATTGCATACTCTACGCTTTTGGAGTCTGCATGGAGTTACATGAACTAATCTGTAATTGTTGTAGTGTTTTTTTTAAATTATTTAAACAAATTCAAGATCACACACTATCTAATATTCATTCAAAATTAAGAGAACTGCAAGAATACTTATTTTATTATTTGGCACACCAAATGAGAAAAGTTTATTTAAATGCACAATTTAATGCACATTTAAATGAACTTGATAAAAAAGGTGCCATAATTGTTGTAAATTATAAGATGAAAATTCTACCAAAAAGTGCATGTGAAACAAAGCAAGACTTTTTTGGAAAAAAGAGGTGGTCATTGCATTCAGTATTGATATATACTCGCCTGCCTAATATAAATAATCTTCAAGTTCGTGCTTTCGATCATTGGTCAACAGATTCATGCCAGGATGCCTGGTTTACGGCTTCCTCATTACATACTGCAATTACTGAACTTAATCCTCGGCCAGAATGGATTTCTTATTTATCAGATAATGGGCCCTATTATCACAATGCAGATCTAATAATAATTATGGGGCAATGGAAAGAATGGTACAATATTTATGTTAGAAAATAAACTTTTCTCAAAGCTGGGGAGGCTAAAACAGCAATTGATTCTCATCATGCACAGGTTTATCTTTTTTTTTTTTTTAAGAGTACAAAAACATTGATTTTGACAATTTGACTCATTCTAATTAATTTGTATTAAAAAGATTCATGTCAAATTTTAATCAATATGACATTAATATGTTACTAATTTTTGGAAGAGGGTACAAACCTTTGGAAATAATTGTTGGATGTATCTCCGTTACTGGGTATAGTTCTTGGCTATTAAGAATTCTATACAGATTAAAACATATAACTGGTATGATTTTGAGTTGAAAAGAATGATATGCGGATCTAAAATTTTTTGTAATATTGTGATGTACTTTCTTGTTATCCCGATCCACAATACCCACGATGTGATTTTTTTTTGATTGGTCGATAAAATAGTCAAGAACAATGTTATTGCTTCTAGAATAGTTTTAAATTAGACATATTAAATCAATTTACTTTTACTATTTCAATATTTCTAGATTTCACATACAATTAGTCATCGTGTCTGTTTAGAATTTAACATTATGCAGGGATCAGATATTAAATCAGCAATCGAAGGAATTTATAAAACATAAGTAGCTTATTTAAAGCCAGAACGAATTAAAGATAAAAAAAATATATGAGATTTAAAATATGGATATATTAACCTTTTTATTAGCTTCAGATAAAAAATGAATCAATACTTTACGGGCAACTCAAATTGGTTCTCATGAGAGTGGCCATGCGATGGTGAATATGCAGGATATATTAGAGCATATGCAATGCCAAATATTGGTGAATGGACAAATTTTCACCT